TCTTTGCACCCTCCAAAGCATCAACTTCAAATGTTAAAAACTGTTATCAACTGTCTTCAGTGTTCAAGACACTGGTAGGTCCTGGAGGCTGAAGAAGAATGGTGGTATCTGCCTCCCAGGTTTGCAGTCAAACCAAGAGTCATATTTGGTGCAAATGGGAAGGTTTGATTAAGTGCCAAATAAGAGGGCAGGTGGGCATCATAGGAAGTGGGAAGGAGCAGGGAACTTCTGAAGGGGAGAGGTGTTCCAGCATGGCCTTCTGAGAAGGGTCTGGAATCAAAGAAATTCACGCTAGCTGCTGGAGAGTCCCTTTCTTCCAGCTGGTTGTCACTGGGCCACCTGTGCCAAGAAGTGGCACATTCAACCATTCATGTACTCACAGAAACCCGTGTCAGCTGAGCTCCCACTGTCTGGCCGGCTCTGAGAGGACTCCCTCAGATCCCATCTCATGCAGCCATGGCCCACTCTGCTGTCTGCTTTCCAGATCCTAATCCCGGATCATGGGCCCTCCAGGCTGGGAAGCACTCTGAGCAGCATGTCCGCTCTCGACTTTACCCCACTCTAACTAAACAAGTGGTCATTTATGTCCTTGGAGAGAAGAGGTTTTAGGGGAGGGAGTGTATCACTTAGGAATGCTTTTGGATGCATCTAACAGAAAACACCACCTACAATAACTTTAAACATGGGGATTTATTTAATCACTTAACAAGACGGTTTGGAAGTGGCAACAGCTGCTGGTCTTTGTTCACTGGCTCAACAATCAAGGTATTCTGTTGACCTTTTGGCTTGTCTCTTGTCTTATGGTTAAAACAGGGCTGCTGTGGCTCAAGACATCACATTCAAATGCCAGGGAGGAAGGTGGAGCAAGGAAAGGGGTTGGTGCCCGCTGAGTCCATCTCTTACAAGGAAGACAAATGTTTTCCCAGAGTCTGTAGCAGGCTTCTGCTTATAGGCACCCCTCACTTCAAGAGAGCCTGAAGAAGCAAGTGTCTCACCTGGGGCTGGGAAAATTGCCACTCCGCAATGTGGGAGTTTCTTATCAAAGACAATGGGGGATGAATATCAGGGATGCAATTACAGCATTAGCCACAAAGAGAGCTGGGGACTTCCTTGTACAATCCCAGGCACTGAACCTCAACCCCCAGCTCCTGCCCAAGGAACTTCTGGACAGTCCCTTCTGCTGAAACGTCAAGCTGCTTCTTCCTAGCCTGTCCTCAGATGAACTGTGAGAACATTATGCTAAGTGAAGTAAGCCAGTCACAAAGCTACCCTACCGTCCTCCTCCCTCCAGCACACGGAATCAAACACCAGCCCCCTCGCCCTCCCTCCCTGGCTCAGCCAGGAGACTGTTCTCCTGGTTTCTGCTCAGTTTCACCCACTGTGGAGTCCCTCTGGGGAAGTTAAAGGAAAGGAGAATAAAAGTGGAGGGAGAGTGTTAATTAAACACCAGATGTTTAACTCTGTTAATTAATGGCTCTGTCACCCTGAGTGGCAGCAGCCTTCTCTTCTCTGTCTCCTTCACCCTCACCGTTCTCTCCTTCTCTGGAGGGCCTTGAGTCTGAAGCTAAAGAACTCAACATTTGTTCAGTGGAGCCCTGAGACCAGCAAAGGGTAAAGGGAGAAAGCCAGCCAGGGCAACCCAGGAGGAGGGGGTTCCCTTGTCCAGGAGGGAGGCATGGACATACTGGCAGCAGGAAAGGAAAGAAGGAACAGTGGGAGAGAGACCGAAGCCCAGAGGTCACGATGAGATATGGCTTTTTTGGTGCACGTAGGGATTTAAAAAAATGCAAGTGGTGGCAAGCATTTAAAAATGGGCAACATTTCACATAAATCCAGATGTGCAGATCTTCTTTAAAAATGGGCAGGTCTGGGCCTGTGTCCTCACACGGCAACAGTTAGCTGGCAGAAAGTAGAGAGGGTAGCCGGTAGCTGTCCTACCCAGACGAAGCATATGTTCTCCCATCCTCCTCTGCCTCCACCCCACATACTTGGCTCACATGTCACCTGTCGCCTGCCATCCCATCTGGGGTTGGGATCCACCAAGGTACAGGTGCCAGGACTCACTAACAGGTTGCACGTAGAGATGAGAGAGAGGAGAGTCTGAGAATGCTGAAATGTGAGTCAGAATATTTGGGGAAATTGCAGGGCCAATGATAGAAGTGAGGAATGTGGGAGGAGCAGGTTAAGGGAGAAAACTGGCAAATTTATTTTGGGCAGGCTGCGGTAGTGATGCCTGAATGATATGGAGGCGGCTGGGCGGTCTGGAGTCCAGAAGAGAAGGGCTGGCAATCCGCGGAGCTGGGGGGCAGGGGTGGAAGCGGAAACCCTGGGGAGGGAGGAAGGGCGGCTGAGACCACTCAGTATCGGCTATAGTGAGAGAAGAGGTAATGGAGAACAGAATCTTTGAGAATCACACATTTGGGAGAAAGAACCAGAAAGAAAAGTTAGGGCTAACTGAGAGGGTAGAAAGAACTAGACTGTGTAATGACAGAGAAGTAGAAACAGGGTCCAATATTTTTATGGCACCTTCCTCTATATGATCTGTTTTGATGCCCAAGTGGTATTTCCAGAAAGCCAAGGGAGTCAAATGTTCTGCTTCTCCCGATGCCCCGTGTTCTCTGTCTCTCTTCTCATCCGCTATAGCTGGCTCCCAGGAAGACATGAAATCAGCCACTTATATCACAGCCTTTTAACCTCTTTCAGGCCGTTCAGACTTTTATGTCTAGTAACTTTAGAAAAAAATCAGCCTCTTACATCACACGTCACAGCTTTTTTTTTTTTTTTTTTTGAGTCAGAGTCTTACTCTGTCGTCCATGCTGGAGTGCAGTGGCGCGATCTCAGCTCACTGCAACCTCTGCCTCCCAGGTTCAAGCAATTCTCCTGCCTCAGCCTCCTGAGTAGCTGGGATTACAGGTGCCCACCACCAGGCCCAGTTAATTTTTGTATTTTTATTTTTAGTAGAGACGGGGTTTCATCATGTTAGCCAGGCTGGTCTCAAACTCCTGACCTTGTGATCTGCCCACCTTGGCCTCCCAAAGTGCTGGGATTATAGAGGTGAGCCACCATACCTGACCCTATATCACAGCCTTTTAACCTCTTTTAGGCTATTCAGATTCTTATCTTTAATAACTGTAGAAGGAAAGGCTTGGTCTCTAACTGAAAGTTTCATTAGCATCCCAGAAATGACCCACTAGGTAAGCAGTGGCCCCTCATGCTGTCTCCTCATCTCCATGAGTATGTAGGAGGAATGCAGCTTCTGTGACCAACACAGACACACACACGACTCTTTGCCACCCTGAAAAGTCTCTGCTCTCTGTGAGTGGCCAAAGGAATGGGGCTTTGGGGTCAGAGAGCCCTTGGGCTAGTCCAGACCTGTTGCTCACCTGTTGCGACTTTTCCCTCACCTCTCTAACCTGAGTTTATACATGTGTGAAATGAGAGTAAGGATGGTGTGTGCGTTAAATAGGATAATTTTCATGGGGGGTCAGGGATCTGGGGGAGCTGGGGCAGAGTCTGAGCCTATCACCCCAGTCTGTGGGTCTTTCTTTCTCCCTCTGACATGACCAGCACAGAAAGCCAGGCAGCAGATGTTACTGGTCTCACTTCATTTCCATAGATTTACGAGCATCCCTTTATGTGTTACCGAAAAATTGGGTGTAAATCCTATTTTAAGAACACAGTGGAACTCATTACTTAAAGAACACTTTGGAAAATCCTTTTGGGAAGTGATTAATAATCACCGTGTGTGCCGGTGTTGATGAATTTCTTTTTGTTGGCATGCAGGTCACCTGCAAGGCCTTTCCACAATCTCCCGTTTGCATTTTGTGGCCATCCTCTTTCTCACGGGACGAACCCTGTTCCCCTTTCCTGTGCCTGTCATTTCCACATTTCTGCTCCTCCCTCTCCGCAGCCCCACTGGCCTGCATGTCCGGCTCCTGATACTCCTCCAGCAGTAGCTCCTTCTTCTTCCCTGAGACCATGTGGCCATGACTTGCCGGGATCCATTTACTGGCTGCTACTCTTTCTTTAGAAATTCAGTCACAAATGAGTCTCTGGATGCCAGAAGTGTGTTTGCCATGTGGGAACCACTGAGCGTGAGTCCCCAGGGTGGGTGTGGCAGGCAGAATAATGGCTCACCAAAGATGTCCATGTCCTAATCCCTAGAACATGTGAATATGGTACCTTACGAGGCAAAAGGGAATTTGCAGATGTGATTGAGTCACGCATCTTCAGGTGGGGAGATTATCCTGGATGATTTAGATGGGCCCAGTATAATCACATGGATCCTTAAAAGTAGAGAACCTTGCCCAGCTGTGGTCCAAAGGAGAGGTAACAGTGGAAGAAGGCTTAGAGATTGCAATGCAGCTGGCTTTAACTATGGAATGTGGGCAGCCTCTTAGAAGCTGGGAAAGGCAAAGAAATGGATTCTCCCCCAGAGCCACCAGAGAGAAATGCAGTCCTGCTAATGCCTTGATTTTAGCACACTGAGACCCATGTCAGACTTCTAACCTATAGAGGCATAATTTAATACATGTGTGTTTTAGGCCTGGCTCATGCCTGTAATCTCTTCAGAGAGAGGAGGACACTTTGGGAGGCTGAGGCAGGAAGATTGCTTGAAGCCAGAAGTTTGAGACCAGCCTGGGTGACATAGTGAGATCCCATCTCTACAAAAACCTTTTAAAATTAGCCAGGTTTGGTGGTGCAACCTGTAGTCCCAGCTACTTGGGAAGCAGAGGCAGGAGGATCTTTAGAGCCTAGGAGGTCAAGGCTTCAGTGAGCTGTGATCATATCGTTGCACTCCAGCCTGGGCAGCAGAGTAAGATCCTGCCTCAAAGAAGAAAAACGTTTGTTTCCAGCCACTACTATGGTGATTTGTTAAAGCAGCACCAAGAAACAAACACAGCAGCAACCACGTAGTCCCTGGGGCAGTCTGACCTCATATCTGGCCTCATCTCTTTTGCCTAGTATCCATGACTTACCCAAAATTTCTCACCCTTTAGTGAGTGGTTTCAGCTGGTGCCTGGCCTGCATCTCTCGGCTGCTGTGGTTTCACTCCATCTCCTGTTGCCCACCACCTCGTCCCCGGGCCACCTGACACCCCAGCCCGTCAACTAAGGTGTGGATGGAGAGTAGGGGGCTGGCTTCCCTCACTGGTCAGGGGTAAGTGTGCCCAGGGGAGTGTGAGGGGGCTGCAGTGGGTCCCAGACTGAAGGGAGAGCAGGGAGAAGACCCCCTCATCTGAGGCATCATCAGCATGCCTCCTAGGACCTCAGTCCACCGTATTTGAGCAGCTCTTCCTTTTTAAAAATTGTGGTAACATATATATAACATGAAGTTGGCCATTTAACCCTTTTCAAGTACACGGTTCAGTAGTATGCACCCCTCACCACCATCCATCTCCAGAACTCTTCATCTTGCCGAACTGAAACTCTAAACCCATTCAACAATAACTCTGGCTTCCCTCAGCCCCAGGCATCCACCATTCTATTTTCTGTCTCCATGGATTTGACTACTTAGGTACCTCATATAAATGGAATCGTGCAGTGTTTATCTTTTTGTGGCTGGCTTACTTCACTTAGCATAATGTCCTCAAGGGCTGCCCATGTGGTAGTGTGTGTCAGAATTTCCTTCTTTTATGAGGTTGAATCATATATTCCATTGTACAGATCTTTCACATTTTGGGTATCCATTTCTCTGTGGATGGACACTTGGGTTACTTCTACCTTTTGGCTATTGTAAATAATGCTGCTATGAACATGTATATGAATATTTCTTTGATATCCTACTTCCAGTTCTTGTGGGTATATACCCAGAAGTGAAATTGCCAGATCATATGGTAATTCTATGTTTAATTTTTTGAAGAACTGCCAGACTGTTTTACATAGCGGCTGCAGCATTTTACATTCCCACCAACCCATTCTAACTGTTTTCAAGTATGCAGTTCAGTGGCATCAAGTACATTCACATGGTCCTGTAACTATCACCACCACCCAGCTCTGTAGGAGCGCCGAATTACAGGAGAACGAACTCTCTGGATATGAGAAAACTTACTGGGGAAACTGAGTAGAAATGGGCCCTCCCCACAAAGGTTTATGCTGAGCGACCAAAGTTGTGCTGGAAATCCCAAGAAAATCCAGGCCTTTAGCTGGATTTGCTGTTTGTTTTTGAGCTGGGGGCATATTTTCAAATGCAGTTTTCATTTTATGCAGAGACTGAACATCTGATAGCGAAATGTTTCCACGGAGAGAGCCTGCCCATGGGAGGAGGGAAAGGAGGCTGCTCTAATGAATAGATAAGCTTGATTTGCGTTTGGTGACATCCTTAGCATTTAATTTCAGCAATTAAAGTAGGCAAGTCCCCTTTGTTTTCTTTTTCCTTGCAAAAACAATGAAACATTACAGAATGTTTGGCAAATAAGAAACAAAATCCTACTTACCATATTACCTTAGTGAAACCCCCACCACCATTTGTAATACTAATCTGTGCAAGGCATGAACCATGCTATTCACCTTAATTTGATTTAAACCACACTGCTACTCTATGAGGCAGCGGCCTGGTTCTCCCCAATGGTTGTGGGCTCTCTGCACATACACTTGGTCTGTCTTCATCCACATGCCTCTCTCCTACACAATTGCCCTCACAATGTTCACGCTTCTTATTCTCAAGTGATGTAAACATCCTTGTGATATTCTTGTTTTCAGTTCTTACCGTGTGTTGACTTACTCTGTTCGTAGGAGCAAGTCCAGTCTCCATGATCACAAATACAGCAGATTATAGACCATGTTTAAGAGGTTGTCACCATCTGCAAACATTCCCTGGAGTGGCCTGGGCTCCACCCACATGGCTATGTCAAATAATGTTATTTTCTAAATGGCTGAGTCCTGTGTGATATGCTGGCATCGAGTAAGAGGCAGACTCCTGAGCCTGACTGCCTGGGTTTGAATCCAGCTTTTACCAGTTTGACCTCATGCAACTTATTTCACTGGTCTGTGCCTCAGTTTTCCCATGTACGAAATGGGGATAATTATGATACCCGTCTCACAAGGTTATTGTTTGGATCAAATGGCATAATATAAACAGCATAGGACACTTCCGGGTACATAACATGGTTGTTATTGTTGCTGTCACCGTTACTTAATCTTACTACTGCTTAGTCTCTGCCACAAGCTCCCTACTCAGTCTTGCTCTCTCCTCCCATCCTGTTTCTTCATCTATGAAGTACAGTGATCTGTTGTATGAAGTACATGATCTAACCATGTGATCTGTCAGAGCCCTTCTGGTTCAACTTTCGGTCATCACCTTGTTCTTTCTGTCTTCCCCATTGTAGCTGGAGGGATGTAGGTGGAACTGCAGGAAGCACTGACAGAACACTAAAGAGATACATGCATGACTTGGAGGCTTCTAGGAATATATGGAGGAGGGAAGAACTCGGCCCAGACTGCAGAAAGCAGGGGCAGGGAATGAACTTCCCTGGGAGAGGGCAAGGGGGCAGGGGGTAGGAGAGGTTTCCCATACCCTCATCCCCAGATTTTAGAGCTGAAAAGTGCTAGGAAGGTTTTCCTCCCTCTCCCCATCCCTGCTCTGGTCCCAACCTTTCCTCTGGGCCCCAGTCTCCCAGATGGTCTAATAGGGAAGAAAAGAGGAAAATCCGTATCCAATCTGCTCTATTCAGAGCAATGGGAAGGCATCTGCATCTCAATCTTATCTTTGTGCTGAGTTGGGCTAAGCTTGGCCCCCCAAGTGGTAAGTGGTGGGTGGGTGGGAAGATGCCTTCACTGCCTCCAAGGAGAAGCCCACCGCTGGGCCACCATATTCAGTGGCCCTGGGCAGGGACAGGAAAGAGCTGCCCCCGCAATGCCTTTCCCTCCCTGCCAAACTGCAGACAGTACACGTTCATCCCTGCTCTTGGTTTCCCCTCTATTTCTTCTTCTTTTATTTTCCTTCTCTTTTTCTCCCCCTTTCCCAGGCAGGTAGCCAAGTGGAGACTTAGAATGGAGTCAAGGATGGAGGGGATCCAGGGAAGAGGACCGGCCTGAACCCCATTCCCCGAAGGTCCTCATGGACTGAGCTGGAGGTGGGGACTAAGGGAAGCATCTCCTTCTCTCCCAACCGCTGTGGCCCCTCGCTGTCAGGCCTGGGCTGGGGGAAGCTGCCAGGTGCCTGTCATTGTGCTGGGCTCTGGGCTCCAGACTCTGCGCTGTCCATCTGGAACCTCTAGAATTTCTTACTCTGGAGCCGTTCAGAACCCAGAAAAACTGCCTCCCGAAGCCCCAACTCACAGGAGGCTGGTTTGCAGCAGGAAGACAGCTTAATAATTTATCACCGAAAGCGCTCTCCCTAGTAAGGAAGCCAACTTGGGAAACCAAATTAAACTGGGAGGGCCGCTTGGAGAGCTTGGAGAGTGCACATGGAGCCAGGGCTGTGGAATGCAATGATAGGGCTGGGGCTTAGTAGTGTAGTATAGTGGCCCAAGGCATGGGCTTGTGCAGCAGACCGTCTCAGATTCAAATCCCAGCTTCATAGGCAGTCGCAGAGGGACCTTGGGAAGTGCCTCAGCTTCGAGAATGATGCTCATGTGGGCACCTCTCAGCTTTCTTGCAACACTGCAGGGAAAGAGCTTACTTAGCCCAGTGCCTCGACACTGCCAATATGCTCCAAGCATTTGTACCCAGGCCCTCATCTTCTAGGGCATATTGTCTTTTTCTTCCTGATTACACTCTTTCATGGCTTTTTTCACTAAAAAGAAAAGAGGTCTGAGGTTATACTGGAGAGGAGCTCCTTGTTGGCTGAAGTTTAGTGGTCCTGTGGGCCACATGGTTTCCAACCGGGTCCTTCAGTCTCCCTGCATCTGTCTGGAGCCGAAGCCTGCAGTTGGGTTGGGGAATTCTCCGCAAGGGTGCAAATGAGGCTGAGACCCAGCTGCTTTCTGGGTGAAAGACCAGCTTCCCAATGTCTAGAGTTGCCCTGCTGACAAATGGCCTGCTCTAATGCACCTGTCCCCTTGCTCACTGCCACCAAACTTCCCAAAGCATGAACGGATCCAACCACATCTTTCCACTATCCCAAACTATCCGAAGTCCTCCTCTTCAGCAGAAGAAAACCTCCTGAAACTTTGGGTTTGCGCTCAAGGCTCACTGTGATTTGGCCTCGGTCCTCCTTTCGAGACTCATCCATCTCTCAGCCTGCCTCCGCCAGCTTCTCCAGATCGTCAGGTGATGATGGGCCAGGGTCAAGTCTTTCCCCTCCTGTGCCCTCGGTCTGGAATGCTCTTCACCCCGATGGCTGGGGAAGCTCCACCCTTGTTTCCTTCAAGAGAGTTCCGCCTTCTACACGAGGCCTCTTAAACGCCCTCCCCACTGCAGCCTGTCACCCACTTTCCCAGGGCGTCTTTTCCCTTTTAGGGCACTCTCACCAGCTGCTTGCCGCTGCTCTACCCATGCGTCCACCTTGCTGGACCCTGCAGGAGGGCCGGCCCGATGCATCTCCATGCTGAATGGAACCGTCCTCAGTGCGGCAACTCAGCCGCCACCCCCAACCCCAGAGTGGTCTGGGCAGTCCCCTCTCTGGCAACGGGGTGGGGGGGGGAGGGCACAGTTATGCGGGGTGCGGGAGGGCCCCTGTTGGGAGGCCAGTTTGAGTTCTGTGGGGAATTCAGCTCTAACACACACTGTCTTCGCCTCTGTCTCCGTTATCCTTCGCCCCTGAGCAGAGAGTGCGGTTCCCTCTGCAGCTGCGGGGCCTCCTGACTGCTCCAGCCTTGGCTCTCGCCCCACTTCTCTGCGCTTCTTCACTGCCATTAGCCAATTTCACTCCCTCCCCTTGTTCAGCGAACCCTCTTCCTACTCTTTGCTCTGGGAAAATGAGCCCGGGAGAAGTCCCATACAAGGCAGGGAGGCCTCAGGGGGGTGTGCGTGGGCGTGCATTCTCTTATACACATGCATGTGCATTCACACGCCTCCAGGCACCGTTAGAGTGACCCCAAACCCAGAACCCGCAGGGAATTGTGGCGGCAGCGTGAGAGAAGAAGGCAAGAGCAGCTCTGGCCTAAGATTTGGGAAAATGCTTTCTTCACTGCTGAAGGTTTCCCAAAATAGCAGGAGTCGGCTGGCGCTGCATCTCCCCTCCCCCGCTGCTAGAGCACCCTGCCTCAGCTCCAATGC